TTTGTCAAAGCGATCCGTTCGCACGAACGTTGCTTTACTCGGAGATGCCACGTTATTACACTTGGAACGCTACATCGAAGAAATTTCAACGTCGGAAGCAAGGCGATGCAGTTCCTGGTCATCTAGATATGCGTTCTACTGAAGCTCTTGGTCGTGTTTACACAGTTCATCCGAAGAATGATGAATGTTTCTATTTGCGGTTGTTGCTGGTACATGTTCGAGGGCCAACATCCTTTGAATCACTACGAACTTTTAATGGTATAATGTGCCGCACATTTCGTGCAGCATGTCAAGAGCTGAACGTGAATATGATCCACATGAATTAGTCCAATCAGTTCAAACGAATGTACCACTGTTGAATCCTAAACAGAGGGAAGTCTATGATACATTGATTAATGCAATTGATGATGGAAATGGTGGCTTATTTTTTCTGGATGCCCCCGGTGGAACTGGAAAGACATTCCTCATGTCATTTATTTTGGCCACTTGGCGAGATCCGAAATTGCGGTAGCAGTTGCTTCTTCTGGAATAGCGGCCACATTGTTAGACGGATGCCGTACGGCTCACTCAGCGTTAAAATTGCCATTAAACCTTCAAACTACTGAACAACCGACGTGTAACATTTCGAAACACTCCGCAATGGCCAAAGTTTTGGTAGCATCAAAAATCATAATGTGGGACGAATGCACAATGGCACACAAACGCGCATTGGAAGCACTTGACTGAACATTAAAAGATCTGCGCAATGACGCGAGATGTTTTGGTGGTGCGATGATTTTACTATCTGGCGATTTCCGACAAACACTACCAGTCATTCCAAGAGCTACTGCTGCCGACGAAATAAACGCTTGCCTCAAAGCATCAAATCTGTGGCGATATGTGAAGAAACTTCAACTGTCAGTAAATATGAGAGTTGCATTGTTGAACGATCTATCTGCTGATGATTTCTCTAAGCAATTGCTGACTATCTGTAATGGCCGTGTTCCTGTTGACGAATCGAGCGGATTGATGTCATTTCCTCCAAATTTTTGCAATTTCGGCTCATCGAAAGACGAGCTTATCAACAAAGTATTCCCGAATATCATTGCTAACCACAAACATACTAAATGGTTAAGTGAGCGTGCAATTTTAGCGGCTAAAAATAAAGATGTAGATGACTTAAATTTTATAATTCAGAATCAAATCGCAGGTACTCTGCATTCATTCAAATCTATCGACTGTGTAACAAACGAAGATGAAGCCACTAATTATCCAACTGAATTTTTAAACTCCTTGGATGTGCCTGGTTTACCACCGCACAATTTACAACTGAAGGTTGGCTCGGTAGTAATTATGCTTAGAAATTTAAACCAACCAAAACTGTGATAAGAAAACTGATGAGCAATGTGATTCACGCGTTGATACTCAAAGAAAAATTTAAAGATGAGGAAGTTCTCATTCCAAGGATTCCGATGATCCCAACGGATATGCCCTTTGAGTTTAAAAGAATTCAATTCCCGATTCGTCTTGCCTTTGCCATGACGATTAACAAATCACAGGGCCAATGACTATTTGTGGCCTCAATCTAGAAAATTCATGTTTTTCTCATGGTCAATTGTACGTGGCATGTTCACGTGTCGGTAAACCATCCGCTTTATTTGTTCTTGCGCCTGACAAAAAAACAAAGAATGTCGTTTACCACAAGGTGCTTGAATGAAAAGAGTTAATCGTTTAATTCAGTCATTTTTTGCTGACACGTGTTTGAAGTACTTAATTTTTTTTTTAATTCTCTTTCTGTATGTATTATTTATCATAATAAAATTACTTTTTGTTATATCTATCTGTATTTTTATTTTGTATCATTGTATTACGTTCATCAAAGCCTAAATTAGTTCAGCTAAAAGGTAACACGACATTCATTGACTGTTAGGCGGTACGAAGTTCGCCGGGTCAGCTAGTCTTTTGAATAAATGAAAAGAAAAAGATCTTTCAGTTTTCTAAACCTATTGCTGTACTGTTAACTTTATGCTTGCAAACTTGTTCATGATTAATATTCATTGATGAATACTAATCATGGTGTTCCACAAGGCTGCGTGCTATCGCCAACGCTGTTTCTTCTGCATATCAATGATATGTTGCAAACCCGTAACATTCATTGCTATGCAGATGACAGCACTGGTGATGCTCTTTACACCGGCCGAGCCAATATTTCTCGGGAAAACGTCTTCGAGTGCCGGGACAAACTTGTGTCTGAAGTCGAGTCTTTGCTGAACAGAGTTTCGGATTGGGGGCGACTAAATCTAGGCCAGTTTAACCCCCAGAAGACACAAGTTTGCGCGTTAACCGCTAAAAAGAACCCCTTTGTCGTATCTCCTCAGTTTCAAGGCACTCCCCTTGTTGCCTCAGCCAGTATCGGAATCCTCGGCGTTGACATATCGAGTGACGTGCAGTTTCGTGGTCACTTGGAAGAGAAGGCCAAATTGGCCTCTAAAAAGCTTGGCGTGCTCAGCAGAGCGGGACAGTATTTCATGCCGGCACACCGCCTGCAACTTTACAAGGCGCAGGTTCGGCCGCACATGAAATACCGTTCCCATCTCTGGGCTGGGGCTCCCCAGTACCAGCTCCTTCCACTTGACCGCATCCAGCACAGAGCGGCTCGAATCGTCGACGACCGAGGGCTTTCCGATCGGCTCGATTCACTGGCACTGCGAAGAGATGTTGCATCTCTTTGCATTTTCTTTCGCATATACCATGGAGAGTGCTCTGAGGAATTGTTCGGATTAATTATAGCCGCCAAATTTCGTGAACGCACTACGCGGCAAACGTTCCGATACCATCCACACCATCTGGATGCTTGGCGGTCCACCACTGTACGTTTCAAGAGGAGTTTTCTTCCGCCTACAACCTCTCTGTGGAATAGTTTACCACCAGCGATTTTTTCCGGACCGATACTACCTGGGAACCTTCAAGAAAAGAGCGTACTCCTTTCTAAAGGGCTGGCAACGCACCTGCAATTCCCCTGGTGTTGCGGTTGATCATGGGCGGCGGTAGTCACTTAACATCAGGTGAGCCGCATGCTCGTTTGCCCTCTTCTATAAAAAAAATAAAAAAACTAAGATTTGTTTTATCTTCTCTGTATCATGTATTTAAAATACCTATTCGTAATTAGATTTATATATCATTTTGAATTTAGTTTGAACAAAGAAAAAAGAATACTTTGTTTCTAATTCATATTGCTTAAAGGGAATAAAATGTTCCACAGCAGGGAAAAGAATAATTTGAAATTAAAGCATTATAGAGACTATTACCAAGCAATTAATCACAAAGGCGCCTTTAGAATAAAGAACTGCTCTTTATTTCGATACAAAAAAAGATAATTACAATAAATTAAACAGCGATGGTTTATCATTGATCTTTTAAAAAGGGATCCGCGACGAGAGTTATGAATAAATCGAGATCTTTAGTCTTTAATTTGTTACGTTTATTATCTTCAAAACAAGCAATTATGTATAAAAAGTTAAAAGGTATTTTTTGTATCATATTCGTAGTTGAATTAAGATTGTATTAAAACGATCATCATAATAACCTACTTAAAGTTACAGCCTATATACGCCCCACTTGCTGGGCACAGGCCTCCCCTCATTTCTGAGAGGGTTTTAGGGCAAGAAAGTGTCCGCCGCGCAGCCCCAATGCGTGTTGGCGAACTTCACATGTCGTCGAAATATTTTTTTTAATTCCTCAGACATGCAGGTTTCCTCCCGATGTTTTCCTTCACCGCCGAGCACGTGGTAAATCAGAACTTAAAATTGCAATTAACAATTTCATTGGTACCAGCGGGGATCGAACCCAGGTTATTCGCATTCTGTTATATTTACAGCGAGCGTTAACCATTTGAGCTACCACGGCTCTACTTATTCTATAATAACCTACTTATTTAAATAATATAACAACAAAAATTCAAATAATAGCAATGGAATGGGCATTTTGATGTTCATTTTATTATATTCCGTTAAATAGGAATTTGTCCGCTCAACCTTTTAACAATGATTTTAAAAATGTTTCTGTCATGTAGACAATCGTTCTCAACGTAACGCACGCGCTCTGTCAAAATTTAAAAAAAATTTTGACTTGAAATTTTAACAAAATGTTAAATTAGCTAAGGGAAAGTGTTTTAAGTTAAGCCATGGATTTTAACTACTTAGTACAATAAAATAGTGAAGTTATAAATCAGAACAATTATAGATGTGCGAAAATTTTTTCTCCAAGAATTTGATAAGTGTTGTTTCGTTGTGTTGACATGAACGCGTAAGCGCATTCACATTCACGGCGCTTAAGGCCTATTTTGCGCGACCATAGCAGCTGTATATTGCAAAGTGCGTTGGATGGGCAGAGAAGTAAGCGTAGATACCCACTATTAAGTTAATATTGAATACAAATTAAACGAATTATATCCGATTAATTTTCAACATTGAAAATTATATAATTAAAACTTTTATTTACAAGTAACATGTCTTGCAATTCATGTAATACGACCCTACTTCAAAAAGATAAGATTAAACGCACAGCCTGTCCGGCCTTGTTTCACTATCAATGCGTTGGTTTTACCAGTACGTCATTTAAGAAGACATCCCTAAGTGTGAAGTCATTTAAATGCTCATTTTGCCAGAGCCGTAACCAAACTGAAGGCCTTATGGCCTCTCCAATTACAAAAAATGATGAAATATATTCTTCTCCTACACAAACGCAGACACCTGTAAATCATACCATAATATCCTTGATACGAGACGAAATAAGTAATATATTAGAAAATTCAGTGAGCCCAGACCTCAAAGCTATTAGGCTGGAAGTAAGTGGTATACAGGAAATTAAAAATAAAATGGATATATTACAATCTATGTACGATTAGCAACAAAAAAAATTTAGAAGAGGCTATGCAGGAAATATCGTCCCTTAAAAATGAAAATGAAAATAAAAATGAGCTTCGCGAAAATCAAATAAAAATAAATTCCAGATTAACTATTATGGAAAAAGAAACAAGAATAAATAATCTAGAATTTCATTGCATACCAGAAAACCGTGGTGAAAACTTAGTCAACACTTTACAACAAATAGGAAAAACTATAGGTAGATATGTAGAAGATGGTCATATAGTTAAATGCACCCGGATTGCGAAGTGGAATAAGGAGAACAATCGTCCACGAACTGTTTTGGCGAAGTTTGCAACACCCCTATTGAGAGATAAATTTTTTGCTAATGCAATAAATTACAATAAAACCCAGCCGTCTGATAAACTTAACTCTTCACATTTGGGAATAGCAGGTGAAAAAATGCCTGTCTTCGTGTGTGAACATCTTACCCCGGAAGTCAAGGCATTACACGCAGCTGCTCGTCGATTTGCCAAAGAGAAATCGTATAAATTCGTCTGGTCGCGGAATGGTAAGATCTACTTAAGGAAAGCGCCGTCCAGTGATGCAATTCTTGTTAAGAACTTGGAGTTCCTTAACGAAATTTCTTAAAACCATGCCATTTTTTTGTTTAGAAATTTAAAACATAGGTATAATATATTTTTAACTCAGTCATACTTTTGTTTGGTTAATGAACTGTATTAGTGTCTTTTATCAAAACATTAGAGGTCTTAAAACCAAAACTCATGAGGTATATAGTGATATTTTAAATTCGGGATTTGACATGATTGTGTTAACAGAAACTTGGCTATGTGAAAGTATATTAAATAACGAAATTATAGATAAACGATACGTGGTTTTTCAACGTGATAGAGAATCTTCTATTTTGCGTACCAAGCATGATGGTGGTGGCGTACTTATTGCAGTTTCAAAAGAACTTAAAAGTTATAGAGTTATGAAATGGGAAAGCGATTACGAGGATATGTGGATTAACATTGATTTTAAAGCAGGTAACCCAAATTTTACTCTATCGATTTCCGGTGTTTACTTGCCGTCACCATTAAATTATGAGTGTCTTAAAAGCTTTTGTGATAATGTTTCCCGTGTATCAGTTGAGCAAACTAATACAATATTAATAGGAGATTTTAATTTATCCAATATAATGTGGACTGAACAAAATGAAAGAATATTTTATAGATTTCATAGCTGAAAATCGTCTTTACCAGTTTAATCAAGTCCGAAATCCTTTTAACAAAACTCTTGACCTAATATGAAATAATAAAGAAAGTACATTTATAATCAACGAAGTTAAAGAAAGCCCTTATCCCTTAAGCCATATAGACATACATCATCCACCCCTAGAAATCAGTCAAAAAGTCAAAAATCAAAAAATATCTTGGAATGAAATTTTTATTACATGTGGTGATGTTGATGAAATGCTAAAAGTCTTTTATTGCAAGCTCCACGAGATTATAGATCGGCATATTAGGAAATATAAGAGAGGAAATAGTAAATATCCGCGTTGGTTTTCAAAAGACTTAATAAAAACATTAAAAGAAAAAAATAAATACAGAAACTTATATAATAAGTATAAAAACCCTCTTGATAAAATATCGTTTAAATTACTGCGTAAAAGATGTGAAACCTTAATACACTCATGCTATAAAAATCACATTAAAAAGGTAGAAGAAAATATAATTAGTAACCCAAAATATTTTTGGTCATATTTAAAAGAGATTAGAAATAATAAAAGTGAATATCCTTCTTATATGACATTAAATGCACAAATTTTTTCCAATGGTACAGACATATGTAATACCTTTGCAAAACATTTCTCAAGTTTATACTCCGATTATCCTATAGGCAAAGAGAATAAGATTCCTAACATTGAATGCGTTGGTATTAATCAAACTTTATCTAATATACATATAGTATACATATATACATATGTAGAGGAAGTAGAATCAAAGTTTAAGAAACTTGATAGCAATAAAAGCGCTCATCCCGACAATATACCGCCTTTCTTTGCTAGGAAATGTGCCGCAGCCCTAGCGCGCCCTTTAAGTATCTTATATAATGCTTCCTTGAAAGAGGATTTTTTTTCCAAGCGCTTGGAAGGAGGCTAGAGTTGTGCCTGTTTTTAAAAGCGGAGATAGGAACGATATAACAAAATACAGGCCCATATCAATACTATCCGTATTCCCAAAGGTGTTTGAGGCTATTGTCTGTCCAATTATAAATTGGCACATGAAATCTATACTAACTGAGAGGCAGCATGGACTTTTGAGAGGAAGGTCAAATCTTTGTGAATGTATTGATAATTTATGTGTGTCTGTGAACAATAACCTTCAAGTTGATGCAATTTATACAGACTTCTCAAAAGCGTTTGACGTCGTGAATCATTCCATACTAATAAAAAAGCTTGAATGTTATGGATTCCACAGCTCCTTTTTAAAATGGGTGTTTTCTTACTTACACAACCGAAAGCTAAAGGTTGTAATAAATGGATTTCAATCTGAGGCATTTATAGCATATTCAGGTATGCCACAGGGCTCACACTTGGGGCCAACTCTGTTCAATATTTTTATAAATTATGTAGTAAATTGTTTCCTGAACAGTGATGTACTTCTCTTTGCAGGTGATTTAAAATTGTATAAAGAAATAAACATAACATAAACACTTACGCCTGTCACCCAGAGGGGTAGGCAGAGACTACAGATTTCCATTTGGCACGATCCTGACACACCTCTCTTGCCTCCTTCACATCCATACACCTACGCATACATACTCGTCGGTTAAGGGTACTCCTAATTTGGCCCGTTTTCAATAAATCGTCAAATCGTTCAAGTAATCGTCGTTTTCAATTTGGTCGTTAAATTTTCGCCTAGGACGTCCCTTTCCGACTCTGCCATTCACTTCTGCAACATAAATTTTCTTTGTCACTCTTTCCTCATTCATTCTTTCCACATGACCAAACCAAGAAATAAAAACCGTTAATGATGTAAACTTACTACAAAATGATATTAATAGGCTGGTCTCCTGGTGCGAGCTTAATAATGTAATCCTTAATCGTGAAAAATGTTACCAAATATCTTTAAATAAAAAAATCCATTCAATTTTTAATGAATATAATATTAATGATTTTGTCATAAAAAAGACAAATGTTATTCGTGATTTAGGTATTTTAATTGATTGTAAATTAAGTTTCACTACGCATATGGATCAAGTTATAAAAAAATACGTGTGGCACTCGGTGACTGCCGCGGTAAAGCTATTGCATAGCATTTTTTATCAACTTATGCAATTATAATTATTTATTTATTTTATTTATGCAGTTAAGTCTTTGATATTAAATCAAGTTACACTTTTTGAGCGTGGTGACCGATAAGAAAACAATTTTTTTTTCTCTTATTGAATAAATGAGAAGTTAATATTGTTTAAAATATTTTTAATATCTTACAATACATGTAGGTTATTCAGGAATTTTTATCATTGATAAGCAGCTAGTGTACACGCATACGTCTAGTCACACGCACACAAACACCGTGCCGAAGTCTGCCGAGTGCCGAAGTCTGCCGAACTGAAACGACATTAGACGATGCACGGCTTTCAACGCCACACCTCCGTGCCCGTCGGAGTGGGGAGCGTGAGGTTTTTTTCGTTACGGAATTTCTAGATTCGGTCCCCGCGCTCAAGGCCTGCGATAGAAGCTATGCAATAGCTTAAAAATCATTGAAATTTTTAGGATTAATTAAACGGGTAACTAAAACTTTTAAAAATAAATAATTCAAAGTAATTCTTTTTAACTCATTTATTTATTTATTTATTTATTCTTTTTTGTACACCACAATACAGAAACATCAATATAGTTAAAACTAATTAAAGTATGTACAATGGGCGGTCTTATCACTCTGAAAGTGATTTCTTCCAGACAACCTTTGCGTAGAGGAATGATGCAAACAAAAGTTACAAATAGAGGGGGGCATACAAAATATATATAAAGATAATAATAATAAAGAAATATAATAATATAATAATACATACAAATAAAAATAAGTGAAAGTTATATATAAAGTATCATATAATAGATTAAATAAAAAGAGTACGAAAAAGGTAAAGTAATTTATCTAATAGCGTTCTAAATAATACGATTTAACAAGACTTTTGAAAGAGTGAAGAGATTTAGCACGACGAATATGGAGAGGTAAGTAGTTCCACAATCGCACAGCGGTTGCAGTGAAGTCTCATTTATTCTTAGTAATCTTGAATATTGTTCTTCTGTCAGGAATCCACATTATCAAACACATATAAATAGGTTAGAACGAGTGCAAAAGAAATTCCTTAAGTACCTTTATTTCAATAATAACAAAATACACAGGCAATTAACTTACATTGAAAGACTGGATCATTGTAATGTGATTTCATTAAATGATCGAAGAGCGCTTGTGGACGTGTGCTTGTTACACAAAATCATTAACAATAAAATTAGCTCGAACATTCTTTTAGGTAAAATATCATAATATGTTATTCCTAGACCTAATTCTAGAATAAGAAATTATAGTTTATTCAAAACTAGGTATTGTAGAACAAATGTCGGAATATCAGCTCCAATTAATAGAACCTTAAAAACTTATAATGTAATTTCTAAATTAGTCGATCTTGACATATTCAACGATTCTTATACCACTTTTAAAAATAAAATTAAAAAACATTTTTATAACAAAATTAAGATAACCTCATGAGTTATTGTAGAAAAAAAATATTTCTTTTTTTTTCTTTTTGTTTGATTCAATAAAAATTTGCGTTACTTATTATTTTACTTTAACATGTTAAGTTAGCCTATTAGTATGATATGCACTAAACTTCAGATTAATCTATAAAATTTGTAAATATTTTTTCATTGTACAATATCATGTTGACTTCCTAATAAATAAATAAAATAAAAAAATAAATTTTATAATGTTGTATCATAGTGAAAGAAGCCTTTGACTTCTTTTTAATACCGTACCATCCTCCAGTCGTGCCAGTTGAATTTAAATAAATAATAGCAGTATCTCTATAAATAGACACTGCTGATGTAAATATTTTATAAAATAGCATAGCATAGCGAAATAACTCAAAGTTTTTTTGCTATGCTATTTAATTATTAATGGTTTATAAAAACGCTGTCCGCTCTATAATAATAGCTGATGATCCAGCGGTGTTTGCGAAGTCTGTACTACCGAGATCTTGCTGATATATAATATGTTTTATTAAGTACATAGCGAAAGAACTTAGAATTGGTGATTTTTCAATTGAAGATCTAGCAATGATTTTTGTGTTGATTACCTCTGTTATACATTAGAACATTAAATTAGCGCTAGTTTTCATGTCTGTCTGTTTTAAACCAACACCAACTAAATTGTTAATCAATGTCTTGTATTTCTTAATCTAAAAATTTTGCACTAAATCTAAGAATTTTGATGTGAATCCTGATCTCTGACTCAAGATTTAGTACAACAACAGAACCAGAGCAATAATGAAATCGGAAGGACTTACGTTTTGTAATTTTTTTCATATGACCATCAGTTCATCGAGATTGCCTCCTCAACCACTCCTAAACACATTAAGAC